TGGTTCCAAATAAATTTTAGGAATGGTTTCCTTAGGTCTGTGAGGTATGTCAGTGGTAGTCTGATAGGAATTGCATTAAATCTGTACAGCAATTTTGGGATTATGGCCATCTTCACAATGTTGGTTCTTCCTATCCAGTAGCATGGAACATCTTTCCATTTTCTGAAATCCTCTATGATCTCTTTTTTCATACTACTGTAATTTTCATTGAAAAGATCTTTGACTTCTTTAGTTAGATTTATTCTAAGGTATTTCATTTTCCTCGGTGCTACTGTAAAAGGTATTGTTTCTATTATTTCCCCCTCAGTGTGTTTGTTGTCTGTGTAGAGAAATGCTGTTGACTTTGGGTATTGACTTTACAATCTGCTATGCTACTGAATTTCTGTATTAATTCTAGTAGCTTTTTGGTGGAGTTTTTTGTGTCTTCCAAGTAAACTATCATGACATCTACAAATAAAGATAATTTAAATTCTTTTTTACTTATTCTTATTCCTTTTATTTCTTTCTCTTTTCTAATGGTTGTAGTTAATGATCCCAGAACTATATTGAATAGGAGTGGTGATAGAGGACATCCTTGTCTTGTACCAGACCTAAGAGTAAAAGATTTCAGTTTTTCCCCATTTAAGATTATGTTAGCTGTTGGGTTTTCATAAATGGCTTTTATCAGATTGAAGTAGAGGCCATCTATTCCAATTATCTGTAGGACTTTGAACATGAATGAGTGTTGAACTTTGTCAAAAGCGTTTTCTGCATCAATATAGATAATCATGTGGTTTTTAGTTTTTCCTCTATTGACATAGTGTACTACATGTATGTATTTTCGATTATTGAACCATCCTTGCATCCCTGGGATGAATCCTACCTGGTCATGGTGTATGATCTTCTTGATAATTTGCTGTATTCTATTAGCTAGTATTTTATTGAGGATTTTGTCATCTACTTTCATGAGGGAGATTGGCCTGTAGTTCTCTTTCTTAGTTGCGTCTTTCCTTGGTTTTGCTAACAGTATAATACTTGCCTCCAGGAATGATTTTGGGAGGATTGCTTCCTTTTCAATTTCATT